AAAAAAAAAAAAAAAAAAAAAAAAAAAAAAAAAATTAAGAAAATAAGTAGTATTTAAACAATCTAAAGGTGAGGCAAAGCTCAGATTGAAAGGAGGAAGGTAAAAATGTTGAAATGAATTTGATTACTAAAGTAACGATCAAAATGTAATTGAAAATTCAAAGCGTTGTTCAAATGCAAATAAGTAGTACATGAATCAATCATGGCTATCAAAATCTGGATGTCTGATGTAAAGCAAGAATCATAAGAACAAACAGGCTTCTAATACTATGTCAGACAAGGAAATGACCACAACATTTATCTGAGCATCACTGTGCTGGAATTACAACCCGGAATCTTGTCACTGTCAATGGCAACCACACCCACAGTTGTTGTCTTAAGATGCAGAAGGAGATGCTGTATTCCTTTGGTCTGTAAGAAAAACTCCCTGTGCTTTGTGCTGCTCTCCTCTGCAGAACTGCTGTGCATCACAGGTTTGTGTGGATCTGAAAGCACAGATGGGTCCAGTGTGTACTTGAGCCTCTGGTCTGATTATTGGTGGTGGTGATGATGAGCGGGTTCAGACCTGCTGAGGGTGTCAAATGTGATGGTGACCTGCCTGGACAGAAGCCTTTTTCTGTGGCTGGTATTAGAAGTCAGGAGAAGGCCAACTGAAGAGATATCAAATACAATGCAGTAGATTTAGAAAAAAAAATGAAACTGCAAACCTGTCCACAGCCAGCACTGGAAGCAAACAGCAGCAAAATTGTTCAAGTTGACTAGAAATGTGAATGACTCACAAATACATACTGGTGATGACTGGAGAGAGGGGAAAAAGCAGAGAGATTAAAGTCTGAAGGGGAGGAAACCACTTAACAACTCCTTCTCTATCTCCTAGGGGAGACATAAAGACATAAGCAGCTCAGACAGATTAGACCAGAGATTAAGAAGGAGTGACAGAAGAAATGTAAAGAACAACGCTTCATAAGAACAGCAAGTGGTAGAGAAATGTGCAAAATAGGTCTTAAAAACAGATAATGGTAATGCATAGGCACACACTATGGTAATTCATAGCCCTAGCCTGGCCTGTAAAGATCTTTATATATAAAATGTTGTTAAATGGAACCTATTATTTGATTTGTATATTGTGTAGGGTTGTCTGTATCATCCCTGATTCAGTTTAGCGTATGCAAAAGAATTGTGTTCTTAAGTCCTACTGTGTTTAATAGCAATTTAGCATGTACTTATTTAAAGTGTTTTGCTGAATAGCAGTCTTAAAAGAGAGTGAAAGACGTAACTGTCATATTTACGGCGTGGCTTGTACTACTGAAAAAATTATATATATAGATATATATATATATATATAAGATATATATATTATATATATATCTCTTATATATATATATATATATATATAAGATATATAAAGAGCTTCTAATACTCTTGTTTCAGAAGAACAAATTTTTTTTCTTATAACTGCAAATCTGTTCAGGAATATGAAAACCAGTGTACTGCAGAAGCCAAGTTTGTAAAACAGTTGGATCAGTGTGAGATGATACTGCAAGCATTTGAGTATGAAGAGTTGGAAAACACACCTGGCAGACTGCAGGATTTTTACGATTCAACTGCTGGTATGACATTTAGTCTTTTTTTGGTTTTTGTTTCGTAGATGAAAGGAATATACAAATTGCCTTTTATCTGATAGACATTCAGAGGAAGTGAGAAGTAGTTATTTCACTCATTGCTCAAGTACCCTAAAGATTTTTTGGGAAACTTACTGCAGTGTGACAATATTGTACATTTATCTGTAGATATTGAACCTGAATTTCATTTACACCAAGTTCCTTTTACGTCACTTTTTTTGCCTAGAGAGAGTCGGGGACCAATGTTCATTACACCTTCATGTGTTTAAGGATCTTCATGTAACATCAGAGGGGGTATAAAGGAGACTTCAGTCTTCACCGATGCTCCAACAGCAGCTTGTTCCTACTTTGTTAGTGTTTGATGAACCAGTGAAGTAGAATTTGTTACTCTTACATGAGCTATGGCCTTGTGTGACCTGCCTAAAGTACAAGTGAGAACCAGCTCAGTGAAATGTTTTAGGTGCAATTCTATTAATTCTTATTCTATCCACTGCTTTTCAGAAGATACTGATTAGTTGAAAGGAGAAATAGGTAAAATAATAGTATTCATTGTTTCAGCAAGGGAGTTGAACACTAGAAGAGGACTGTGACTTCAAGTCATCCTATCCTGGGAAAAAAAATAGGGACAGACAAACTCAGGGAGGGGGCCACCAATCACCAGACACAGTCCCTGACAAGTCATTTATACCTTGGTGACTCCTCGGGGAAACAATATGCTCTCTGAAAAATGCAATAATTTTATTGGGAAGAAGGAAAAAAAAAAAAAAAGGACATCATCAACAAAGTGGGAATACTTAATTTTCTAATTGACATCTCTCCCTCCAGAATTCTGTAACTTCAACTGAGCTGGTGTCTCAGTAGAACATACAGCATATACCCTGAGTGCATCTGTAATTGGGGTGGTTTCCTGTAGCAGGATACATAGTATGGGATAGTCTTAGACGGGGTGCATCCCTTTTTCATCTCTTAATTGTCTTAATAGAGCACGAAATATTGTTGTAAGATTTTTGGGAAGAATGGCTATAACTACTGTTACAGTTATTCTATAGTTGGATTAAACTGGGAGTATTCTCTTTCTTAAAAGAATAATTTGACATTTATTCTGAGCCTAAAATGACATCACTGCCAACTTTTCACATGTAGGAAAATGAGAGCATTTTTAATTAACTTTGTTTCTTTTGTTTTGCAGGGAAGTTTGTTCACCCAGAAATACTCCAGCTTGTATCTCTGATTAACACAGAAAGGAATAAAAAAAAAGCAGCTACATCTCATCCACATTCCTGAGGTGTTCCTAAATGCTGTAGCTATAATAAATACTTTGTTTTATATTCTATGCATTATTTTTTCCTCCTTATAGCATCATTAATTCTGCCAGCAGATTTTTTTCTGTGCATTCACTGCTGAGAATCCCAAGACCACTTAGGAGCAGGTAGGATAGTTACCTCCTGGATCAGAGGTTGTGTCAAGGACCAAATATTTGGAATTTGCATAATTGGGTTGTTTTTTTTTTTTAATCAGCCTCTGATTGATGCAGTCTCAGCTACAAATAGATTCTCTACCGGGGAAATTTGCGTAAATTTAAAAATTAGCTGATGACAATGTTCAGGTTGTCTTGTTCTGTGATTTCTAAGTATGTATGGATTTAAGTACCTTCCATATCAAACAGGCTGATACCTGTTCACTGTGCTACACTGAAGTGAGACCAATGAGCACTTTTCTCTAGAAGCTCTTGACAGAGCCAGACTTAAGAGATGAAATTTCTTTGGAGTGCATAAGCCTTAAGAAATGATGGTGCATAAAACTGGTAATCTCATTAATTAAGTTTTCTCAGTATGTTTATTGTTTAATACAATTTTTCCACTGTTGATGTGTTGTAGCAGGCAGTGGTGCTGACATTTCCATAGGGCCAGTATTCCTGACTCCCCTTTGCACCAGACTGGCAATTTTACAGTCGTTTGCACGAGTAATTGATAATCACAGAAGAGCTGAGGTTAGGAGGAACCTACAGAGCTTGCTCAGTCTAATGCAAAGCCTGTACATGCATGCAAAGTGGGCTGTCCCTTGTTGACACTGTTACACACTGCACTGATTCTGCTGTAAATGGCAGTTTTTAGTGGAAATAATAATGCTAATGTGAAAGTACAGTGTGGTTGTCAAGCAGAGCTCTAGATGGTGGCAAATGCCATGATGAGGCCAGTCTGCACTAACTCTTGTGGAGCTAGCTTCTTTGTCTTTAGACTCATGTCAGATAAAGCAGTGTATAGCTAAATTCAGTGGTCCTCCTCTTTATAAAGGTGGCTGATTTTGGTGAGCACACATCTTCAGGCACTGGGACTCGGGAAACATCTCCTTTATGCAAACCTGAGGGGCTTGGCCAAAGCTCACGCTGTGTTCTGCGGCTGGTGTCTCGGGCAGAGACACGGTGCACTGTGCAGAGCTGCTGGGAGTTCGTGCCTTAGCGGTGGCACAGTGCCCAAAATGTGCAGAGCAGAGTGGTCCAGGCAAGAGGTGGGATGCCTACTCTGCTCAGGGAACCCTGCAAGGCAGCCGTTGTGCCCTGTGGAGACCCTGGAAGAACAAGCTGCACTTTACTGAGCAATATGAAACTGTTTAGTGGTCACTGGTGGCTGACTGTCCATACCACAAGTGTGATGGAGTTGGCCCATTGTTCTTCAGCACTTTTATTCCACCAAGATGCCTACAAACCATAGTCTCCATTAGTTTGTATGGAATGCCAGAGATGGAAGAGCTACAGATGCAGTGCAAGACAGAACTCAGAATGTTCTTGACAAACAAGTGGCCTTAAAAAGCTGTTTGATAGAAACACACAGCACAAGCTACCCTGGCAGGAACAGTTGGTGCCTCCAAGGCAGCAGGAGGCTTTACTGGCTGGTTATGTGCTGCTGTGCAGGGGCCCAGGGACAGAGCACTGAACCCCAGGCAGCAGTGCAAGAAAGGTGTTTCTGGGAAACAGAAACATGGTGACTTGGGGAGGGGGTGGGGGGTGTGGTGTTTGGCTTTTTGTTTAAAGAAATCCAGTAGGTACCTTGTGTAAAACTGCGTTCCTTTCTACTCATTGCAACTGCAATCCTATGTCAGTTTTGGACACTGTATTTTAATAGAATTAGGAGGTGGTTGGAAAGAGGCTGGAGAAGAAAGTGCAATCAGAAAGCTTGAGCTATGAAGACAGCCTACAGGACTTCAGCCTTCTTAACTGTGATGGTTTGACTGGCTAAATGCCAGGTATCTACCCAGTCGCTCTATCACTCCCCCCCCCTTTCCCCTTGTTTTCTTAACAGGGTAAAGAGGGGAAAGATAAACAAACCCTTGTGGATGAAACAAAAGCAGTTTTAATATAAGCAAAATGAAGCAAAGGTCCATGCGCAGAAGCAAAAGCAAACAGATTTATTCTCTACTTCCCATGGACAGGCAATGTCGGTCCTTCTCAGGAATTGGGGCTCTAATATGTGTAGTGGTGGCCTCGGAGAACCAAGGGTTACCCCAACCCCTTCCTCCCAGCTTTATACTGAGCAGACATCATATGGTCTGGAATATCGCTTTGGTCAGTTTGGGTCAGCTGTCCTGGTTGTGTCCCCTCCCAAGATCTTGCCCACCCTGTCCCACTGGGGGAAATGTCGGAAAGAGCCTTGGTGCTGTGTAAGCACTGCTCGGCAGTAGCCACAGCACCAAGGGTGCTATCAACACCCTGCCAGCTCCCAGCATAAACCACAGCACCGTGAGGGCTGCTATAGGGGAAACCAATTCCAGCTCAGCCAGACCCAGCACACTAACACAATACTGAAACACACTGTTCATGTGCAGAAGTGTGCTGGGCCCTGGACATGTGACCTATGAGAGGAAATCACCTTCTCCCATGTCTTTCTCCTGAGCTACTCATCTGCACTGACCCTACACAGAGCAGCAGCTGCTGTAATCACAGTAATATATCTATAGTGGCCAACCTACCTCCACTAGATTATGTTCTTGCAATTTATCTTGATACTGCAGGGATGGAGCAAGGCTTAGAGACGCACAGTAATACTAGTAAATACACAGAATTTAAAAAAAAATCACAAAGTATAAAAGAGCAAGAGAAATTTATTTTTAACATCAATAACTTAATTTACACAAACTAAGCTAACCATTAATATCTTCTTTATTTAAATAAATTCACATTTATGCACAAATCCACATAAAATAAGCTAGCAAACTGTTACAAGAAAACTGTACTAAAAAACCCTAATTAGTTTTGCTTCCATGCTAAAAATCACACTAAAGAGGCATTTGATATAAATATCCAAAGTTAACTTATGTCCAGTAGAACATTACGAAAGGACTTCCAACTCTGTAAAAACTATAACAAAAGCCACACAGGAAAAAAATCACTTAAAGCCAAGTTTTTTCACAAGATTTTAAGCAGTCTGTAATGTCAAACTCACCAACACAGATTTGAAGCTTTGGCTTATGCTCAAAAAATGCATCCATTTTGAAAGTAGCCAGACTGTTTTCCATTTTGTTTATACTTTATTGATAAAGTTGTGCTCATCTCAGTCTGGTGAACTGAGTAATGCAACATGCAGACCGACATGTGCTCACTAGACAGTAAGACAGTGTCACGAGTGTGCTGCTCTCAGAAAAAAAAAATGTTAAAAGGATGCAAGAAAACATGCTGCATCAAAGTTGAGAGATGACTAGCTCATGGTGATTAGGCAGATGTAATACGGTTAGTGGAATTATGCCCTGGAATGAAGCACAACAAAATTTTGACAGCAAAAGTACCTACTCATCCTGTGTATTGTAAGATAATAGGGTTTACGCTAGCAGCTCTGAAATGCTGAGTGAAGGCAGGGGCTCTCTAACCTATGGCACATCTTAAGCCAATTGTTGGGTTTGTATTCTTTCACTTAAGGCTGTATGTTGACTGAGGCTCATAAATACACCTTCCCCTATTTTTGAGGGGAAGATACAGAGACAAAAATGTTAGAGGTTCCCTTTTTTACTTAACTTATACTGTCAAGTCTTACCAAACCACAGAGAGAATGCAGTGGAGCTTTTTAAACAAGCTTTTTGAGCTACAACAATCATCTTAAACGGGCAGCTGCGATCAGTTCAGTCTCTATATGAGTAACCTGGTGTCTCTTCCTTTTCCCCTTACTCTGCTGACTAATAGGTGGAGGGCAATGCCAGACTGTACCAATGAAGGAGAAAAAGACTTTTTGTGACAATAAGTGATTTAATTCCTTTAGGAAATAGATTATGTACAGACACTCCTGAGCAAAGGGCACATGGTATGGCTGGTAGACAGCTGGTATATGGACTACTGCTGGCAGTAGAAATCTTTGCACAGCTCTTGGTCCATCTGTCTGATGTGGCACTGAGAAGGGAGTTGGAAACCAACAGATAGAAAACAGTAAACTGAAAGAAGAAAGAAGCTGACACTGGGTTATTGTTGCAGGGAAGTTACATGAGCATGAAAACTATTTTGGTCACTTAACATTGAATTTAGAGCATTATAAGTCAATGACTTGCATGTAGTTTCTATGGAGCACAAAGTACCTGATGATGAAATGGCCCATCTAAAACACAGCTAGAGAGAGGAGACATTTCTCCAGCTCAAGGGCAGGGAGGCAATTTTCCACAGCTGACAAAATCTTGTTGCACAAGTTGGCTGGCAAGGGAGGTCTAAAAATCACTGACTAGGCAAGTCTCTGAAGAGAGGCATGTGAGGCTCAGGAGGGCCCGCAGTCTAACACTGAAGCTCTTCTTCGCTCTCGGGGAGTCGGGTGCCAGCAAGAGAGCTCTGAGCGCTGGCATGGGCTGTAGAGCTGAGAACTTCTTCAAAACTGCCCCCCGTGTGGCTTGTCCCACCAACCTTGGTCTGAAACAAAAGGCAAACAAAGTGAACAGCAAGTTCCTCTGCTTACCCTGTGTAGCAAGTCCCCTTTGCATTCCACCTTATGGTCATGGAGGGCTGAGAACTTCAAAGCAGGCAGAGACATGGGGGGTTGGGTTTTTCTTAGCACAAAAGCTATAAAAACAGTCAAATAAAGTAACCCCTTTCCTCCCTCAATTTCTAAACTTCTAGGCTGCGCTCATCAAATCTGCCAGTGGCATTTATCATGCACTTAAAAGAACCAGTCCCCAAGTAGGTCCCAGGCAGGAACCTAGATCCTACCATTAAACTTAGTGCAGTTGTTCACGAGTTGCTCACACTGGTTTCATTGTTTTTTTCCAGTTCTCACAGGCTGAATAAAAGACGGGTATTAAAATGAACTAGTTCATTTGCCTTGTAAAGTGGCCCATCCACCAGCAATGGTAACACAGCTGCTCTCAAAGTACATAAACTGTACTGGGATTTCAGATAGTAGAAGGAATATAGTAACCAAAGAACAAAAAACAGCAGGCAGAGCTTTAGCTAAAGATTTGGAAACAGTCAACAGTAAACGATGAAAAGACAAAACTGTTTTGACTGGGTTGTCCTGATAAGAGAACATTCTTCTATGGCTTGGCTTGCTGATATGCCCACTTGAAGTTTATTCAAGCCTGAAGATTGGGCAAAACTTTTTACTCCATCCTAGAACTGCAGCAGGACAAAGACAAACTGGCATTTTTTCCAGCCTGTCAGCCACTGAAAGTTTAGGAAGATTTTAATTTAATGAATTTTGTGTCTTAAGTTTCCAAAGGGTTAAGTCTATATAATCCTTTGTTTCATCAACTATCACAGGAGCTTGCCTAGTTTAAGATTAACAATATTAGCAATAAAATAAGGCGGTACTAGATATTTGCTCTGACAGTTTGAGTCACAACTATTAAGAATTCCTGTCTCAAGAGATATCTGTATCCAGTTTAGTGGACTTTGCTGACTTTCAGAAGTATCAGTCCAACGCTGAACTTTGGAAACCGCAATACAAAATACATATATTGTTAAATGTTGGTAGACTTGAACTGGCAGTGAAAAGGTGGCCACTGCCTAGTAAAGCTACTGTTGTTTTCATGGCAGAACTCATGACATTTATTTGCCATCTAAAATTTTCAGAAGAAAACTGATTCAGACTGATCAGTGATCATGAAAGTGTTCCTGCACTATTTGAAATGACTCAGATAAGATGCATCTGAATTTGGACACCTCAAAATTAGAAACATTAATGCAGTTTCATTTTCTGCTAGCCTTTCTGCCTACTCCTCCATCCAAAAGCAAGAATGATGTAAATCACTTTACTGAATGCCTCTGGGCAATATTCCAGTGTTTATGCAAATATTTAATTCATCAGTGTTCTGATTTTCAGAAAAGTTGAAGAGACCTGGGCACCCAGGTCCTGTTGATTTCCAGGGGAAGCGGAACTAATACAGTCTCTTAAGAAGGCTGCAACCCAAAGTCCAAACTCCAAGAGTAAATAAAATCTAATTTGAAATTTGACTTCTAAATGTATGAAATCTGAACATTTGTTTTGGCTGACTACTAAATACTGTACAATCACTGGAGATCTGTAGCTAATATTGCGGGGGGTGGGGGGGGGAGACGATAAGGCTACTGCTGTTCTTTTCTTTTTTCAGAAGCCTTTCTAGGAAGTTTCCACTTTTTCAGACCACAGCAGGATTCTAGAATTGAAGGAACAGCCTATGATTTCTCCCCCACCACTCCTCTGTCTTCCAAATCTGCAAGCCTTGGAACAGAGACAGTGAAAAGGAAGAACAGTGCTGAGACATTCCCAGTTGTCCACAGCCTATGTTAGTGGCATCTTATGTCGATGACTCCAGCTTCCTTTCTCAATTTGCACAAAGAAATGAAAGAAAGATAGAATACAGACAGAAAATACTTCAGAAGATGTTAGTGTGTTTGCCGATAAACATGGACAATTAAGGTTTAATGGGATGTGGAAAATTACTTTAGACTCAAGACTTTCTGTTTTGTCCTGCTTAACTAAAGATTGCTTAAAGGATGATCTAAGAGCACCCTGAACACAATAGGCTAAGAGCTGGCATGACAGTCTCTTCTAGAAGAATGCCTTTGCTTAATCAGCAAAATAAGATCAGGCTCCTCAAGAAGACCAGAGCTGTGCAGTTTGAATTGACGTTTCCTCTTTCTGAGTGACACGCTGAGGTGACTGGAAACAGACATCCTACCCTGATGCAGAAAGGGTATCACTCACATTTGTCCTTTAGCCCTCAAAGCAAAGCAAAAGGCTTTAATCTGCTCTTCTCACAGGCTGGTCGTAAGTGTGGAAGGAATGAATCTGTGGAGTGTAGAGTAGTCTAGAACCAAACTTGGGAGCCAGAAGTACTGCAGAAAGCCCTGAGACTAGGTTTAGCAACTAAATGGGTACAAAAGGTGCTGCACTTCTCTAGTGTAGTTTCCTCTAACTTGTGAGTGGCAAAAAATTGAAAAAAAAAAAAAAAAATCCATTTTAGACTTCAGGTGTTCCAATGAGCTGCTTCCCTAATCTAAATGGGTAGAAGGAATATAAAGAGATAAGCAAGCAATACATTTGACATCACCAGACAGGAATTCAGACCTTACAAGCTGATGCACCCCACCACATGAATGATTTCTCCTACAATGAAGTTTAGTATAAAAAGCATTTGCAGCTAAGGTGAAAATAATTAATAGGAAGATGTATACAGGCACTGAGCTGGGGTTCTGGAGGTTTGCATTCTGTTCTGGCTCCTTGGAATGCTGCCTCCCACATGTGAAACTGAGATGATGTTTCCTTCTCTGACACAGTGCACAAGCAATGACATTACCCTGCACTATCAAGACTTAAAGTTGTCAGAACAGCTTATCTCTAAATAAATGTGAACTTTTAAAAGGTGAAAATGATAGAGCAACTCTGCATTCTTTGGTGGACATTGGTCTTCAGAAATATAAATCAAGCTCTCTGCTGCTTACTTTCCTCAGACACTGACTGGAAAATTTTATCTGCTGTATGATTTCACAGCGGCATGGAAAAGACAGACCTTCCCTGTGTACCTGCTGCCTCAGTTCCAGCTGTAATTTGCATTTTCTGTAACA